TTCATCTTTGGTTTTCCTCCCGGTTAGAATATTTCCTTTGCATTTATTGATGTATCTCTTTTTTGAATTTATAGGCCGGGGTCATTTCAGAAGAGATTGGCCAAAGTCTGCTGGAGCCAAAAGACCAGGTCTCCCAACTCACCATCCTCCTTGATTCTGCCAAGTTGGAGATCAATGACCGGGCAGAAAGGGAGAGGAGGCTTAAGGAAGAGTTGAAGGAAGAAAGGGCCCGGTTTGCCCTTCTAGAGGAGGAAAGGAAAAGAAATATCGCCGAGCTCGAGGATGCGCTGGGGCAGGCTGAAGAATCTGCCCGGGAAAAGATGGAGGCCTTTCCCTCTGAAGCTGCTGATTGGGCTGCGTGCCATCACACGGAGGTTGCCCGGTCCCTTCTCACTACCCCGGAGGAAACCATGGACTTTTTCAAAGTCATGTATCAAGAGCCAGAGGGGAAAAGGATGATAACGGAGATAGGGTCTTATGGATTCCAGTGTGGCCAGAAAGATGAGAGGTCTCTTCTCTATGCCAGACTTCTGAAGAGGGACCCTTCCTTTGACCCGGCCAAGATGAAGCTTCCGGCTCTATACAATGAAGAGCCGGCTCCCCCCCTTTCCCCTAGAATAGGTTAGGGCTTGACAATTTAAAAAAACTTTGAATTTTCCCAAGGCCTGGGGGATGTCCGGCCTACTTCTGACTTGTTTAATATCGTCTTTTGTTTGGCATGGTTTTCAATTTACCGGCTTGTTTCTTCTTTCAGTTTGCATGGTTGTTTTCCTTGTTTGGTCCTTACTTGAAGTCGCATGGTCAGACTTGCCTTTTCTTGAACATGCTTGGTTTAACTTCCAAGTAGAAAACAATAACCGGCCTTATACCTCAGGAATCGTTTTAAAGAACGTCCAGGGCATCTCATGTCCTGGTCCTGAAAACGTCCAGGCCTCATTGGCTTGGTTGACGATTTTATTGAATATGCTTGATTCCAAGTCAAAAGAAGTAACCGGCTTTATCCTTTGTAGTTGTCCAGGTCACCTCATGTCCTAGTCTTTGGTTAACGCCTTAGAAACGTCTAGGTCTGGTAGGCTTTGTTGACAGCGTCCAGGTCAATTCCATCTCTTGAAAATGTCCAGGTCATGTTATGTCCTGGTCAAGTACAAGCCTTGAAAACATCTAGGTCTTGCAACCTTGAAAACGTCCAGATCTTGTGGCCTGATTTGTCTTCCGGACCGGCTTGTGTCTAGGTTGAACTGCAACAAACGTCCAGGTCATCTCATGTCCTGGTGTAGTAGGCTAGGTTGGAAGTTTTGAAAACCACTTTAGACGCAAGGCTTGAAAACTTCTAGGTCATCTCATGTCCTGGTTTCTTGACTTGAAAACGTCTAGGTCGGTTTTTTCCTCGCCTGTTTTCTGACCCAGTCAACTTCCAGGTTCTGATGGCTTGGTTGCAATATGTAACCAGCATGACGTCAAATTTCCTATCCAGGTGCCGGGTCAAAAATGTGACCGGTCAAAAAATATTTTTTCCAGTTTTGTCTGATTTCATCAAATCCGCCAACTAAAAAGTGACCGGTGACTTTTCTCAAAGTTGACCGGTCAAATTTTAATTTTTTCCCATTCGCATTTTCTTGTCAATCCAGAACATCAAAAAGTGACCGGTCACTTTTGACCATGCCACCTTCTTCTCCCCCTCTGGCCTGGGTGTTATGCCTAACAGCAACCTTGCTCAAATTTCGAACGAATAATCCGAAACGGTTTTGAAATCATCAAGTCTCAACATCAAGACCCGAACTTTTTTCGGAGATTTTGACCATGTCCTATGATCGCGAACCGTCTCCAAGGTTCAGCCCTCTTCCAGGCAACACCCTTCTTCCAGGGCCCCTCTTCCAGGTTTTAAGTCTTTTAATGTGCCATTCTCTAATCATTAGGTTGACCTAGCCAACCCAATCTTCCCACGTGGGGGTATGCCGGTGAGAACCAGCCCTCATCCAATCTTACATGTCCATATGTTATGCGTTTGAAGTGAATTCTA